GGCTTTAATTCATGAGAGATCATAATGTGAGCTGCTGTGGGCAGTGCAGGGACAGGAGGGGGTGGTCACTGCACAGTGTGGTGCCTCAGCCCACTCAGCACCTCGGTTTGCTTGGAAAACTCCACTCACGTGCCCAAATTGTTACTGCTTTGGGTTATTTCCTTCCAGCTGTCCCTGGGATTGTCTCATCTGCAGCGACCACCGTTGATTTTGCAGCTCCTCCCGAGGAAGCTCAGGGTTTTTCCAGGTGGATAGGGAAGTGTCAGACTTCAGCAATCGACATTTTACCTGTTTCTTTGCGAGCCAGAAGGGACCTGCAGGGCTGTGTGGAGGAGGAGGGACAATCCTGATGGATATTCATCTGCTGCTCTTCAACCCTCCTGGTATTAGGTGTTTCCTTAGATGATTTATTCCTCTGCTGGATTATTGGAAAGGTTTTCCTTGCTGCAGGGAATAGTGGTAGTTGTGTGTGGAAAGAAGATGGAGAAGAGATGCAGGGTTGCTGGTTATGCTTTTGTCTTTGGTCTGAAGATCCTGGTTCTTTTGGGCTCTCAGGATTTCTGGCTGTTGTGGTTTTATTTTGATCTTCCCCAGCTGTCCCACAGCTCCCTGGGGATGCCCAGGCTGAGGCACAGAGGGGAAGGATAACCTTGTGTGATTCAAGCCTGTTCCTCCTCCCTGGACGTCCCACTGTGGTGTTTGTCCTTTTGGTTTTTGGGGATTTGGATTCACTGATCCTTGTGGGACCTCAGGAGATTGTATGATTGAATCCCTGCCGAGTTGGGATCAGTTTTCCAGGTTCTCCTGGTGTTCCTCTCCATTATCGTGGTTGGCATTTTGTTAAACTCAATAAACAAGGGTGACATGAAGCAAGAGCTGGTTAAAACTAAACCCCATCCCTTTATTTGGTTTCTGGTTGACCACCCTTTGTTCTGCTTATTCCTTTTTTGTGATGCCTGGGACGAGGTCTAGGCCCGTGGGTCAGTGGGGGACTGGTTGGACTCGGTGATCTTAGAGATCTTTTCCAACCTGAATGATTCTCTGATTCCAAGATCTTTAACAGCAGTTTGCTAAATTTACTGGTTTTCCAAAGACTTGCTTGTCCCACCTTCCTGCTGACAGAGGAATGTGTTGTCAGGAGCATCCTGGAGCTGCTCCAGGGTAGTAGTTGTTGTTGGTCGTAGTCATTGTTGGTAGTACTTATTGTTGGTCCTACTTATTGTTACCTCAATCCTTCCAACAGTGGGGAGTTTTTCATCCCCACTTTGCTGAATTGTGTTTCTAAACTCTGGTAAAGAGATTTCTCTGGCAAGTGGCTGCAGTTCAATGGTGGATGAAATAATCTCTTTATATAAATTTGTTTGCAGACCTCGGGGAAAACCAAAATAATATAATTGTAAGAATATATTTAATATTAAGGTCGTTGTGAATTGTCTATTTTTTTTTATTATTGTTTTGAAATAATTTTCATTCTTTGTGTGTGTGTGTTTCGTGGCACTGGTTGAAGTTTGCCACGTGCAAAATCCATGGATTGGGATGGGGAGGGTGTTGTTTGGAATGTCAGGAGTAGATTAGGGGGGTCAGCCTCACTGGTTTGGTGCTTTGGCTTCTTGCAGAAGTAGAACCAATTGCAATCTTGCAAGAATTTGTAAAATATATCTGAAAATCGTGTTTTAATTCCAAAGGAAGAGTCAAACCCATGGTGGTGGAGACCACATGGAAATCAGCACATTTACATGTTCCTCTTCCTTTTATATCAGGGCAGAGACAAAGCATTTGTCAGGAGGAGACAGTGGTTGTGGTTTCTGCTCTTCCTTAAAACTACACCCTCGTTTGTACAGATTAAAAATAAGTCCTATCTACTTTTAAAATCCACAGTTTCCTGGAGTAGGAAAAGGAATGTGAAGCCTCCCTTAAAAACCATAACTGTATGATTTGTTGGTATATGGATTTTTCTATTAAGAAAGAAATACCAGGAGCTTGAAAAGCAGTATATATGTAAAGAGAAAATTTGTTAACTGATATGGGAAGATCTAACCCTGGGTCACCTGCAAATCTCTCAAACAAGAGCTCCAGGGCAAGTCCTAATTCCAGAGAGTAAAAGGGAAAATTAAAGCTGTAGCTGGTGACTCCTCCCAGTTACCCGGGGTGGATTCATTTGAGTTTCTGTGATTGTGCCGGTGAATGGGATGGGAAGGGGATGGTAGAGAGGTCTCCTCAGCCACTTCCCGGCCAGAGGATCTCCATGGAGACAGAAACACAACCTGATGGGCTGTCAGAAGTTGCTTTTCATAACCAGAGGCGTTCATTAAATGGGAGATGAAGCAGGAGACAAACTTGGGCATTTTGAACCAAGCTTGGCAAAAATGCCTTTTGGAGGGTGTGCTTTGTGGAGTGGTTTATCCAGGTACCACTGACACTCCACGGGCTGAGAAACAGGCTGGGAATGGGACGGATTTATTGACCTTTGGGGCTTATTGGCTTTGGGGCTGCGGCCGCTGCGCTTGGATCCCTCAAGATGAACTTCTCATCTCCCAGCAGCACCTGCAAACCCAACAGCTGGGGAAGGAGAGAAAGGAGAAAACAGGTTATGATGAGTACTTTTAGACCAGTTTTTAATGTTCAATAAAACTGGGCTGCCTCCCTTTCTCCTGAACTGTGGGCAAAAAGGAGAGGCGCCGACTGTAAAGTTGTCGGCGGCCGGGTTTGGTTTATGGTTTCCGAAGCTGCCCGATAATGGGAGCTCGGAAAAAGGTAAACAACAGAGTTTTAACAGTGAAAAATATGCCTAATATAAACACAGCAAAGTTCATCGCTGCTCCCCAACTTGAAAAATACGGCTGGAAGGTCGCATTTGCTCGTGGAGTTGAGGGAGGAGCAGAGCGTGGCCTCACAAGCAATATATCTGAGGCAGGGGAAAGAGGTAATACGTCTAAGTGGGGAGTCTCGGTGGCATTGCAGAGAGGAGAGCTCAGGAGCTTTATTTAATTGAGAAAATGAATCAATTACAATGATGTTGCATCATCAAATGCAAGGGAAATAGCAGATATGTCGTTACATCGGGTAACAGTGTTAAAAAGTAATTGAGTGTCTTAAGCATTTTGAATCAATTCCAGGTACTGGCACAGCCACCTTAATGCAAAATTTATGAAGATGATCTCCAAATAATCTGTGGCTCTCAGAACTGGTGTAATAAAGGCTGGGGAGGGGGTGGTGTGAGCAGGGACACGGCTGGGCCCGGCTCCGGCCGAGGGTTCCCGTGTCACAAATCCACCACTTGCATTGGTGCTGCTCTGTCTTCCACGAGGAGCACTGAGTGCTTTTATTAGAAATGATATTTTAAATCTTGCTCTGAAATTGGATGTAATCATACCCGTGTTGGGGCCACTCTGGGTGACCCCACCTCTATTCCTTTTTGTGACAAGACCTATTTTTCCTGTAAGGAAATGTGAGTGATGCTCTGTTTGGATAAAAATCTCAGTCGCCTCTTCGTGTGCATTAGTGTAAAGAAGCTCCAAATCATCCCTGTTGAATAAGCTGAGTCTATTTTGTCATTTAACATCTGGAAGGCAAGGAGGAAAAAAAGGCTTTTTATAGCCACGAAATATTTTGCTTATTAGCAATAATGTAAAGCAGCAAATTTGTTCTGTTGAGTCGTGATAGATAGAGATTAACCATTAAAAAATATAACAAGCTGCTTTTGTGGAGGTATTATTTTATTTTCTTCCTTGGAAAAAATAGAATTATCCTCAGAAACTTTGTGTGCTGCTGATACACTAAGAAAAGATTCCATGAGCTTAACACCAGCTCTTTTCTTGGTGCTGGTTTTCCCCCTCTGTGTTGGATTTTGCTGCTCAGGTGTTGCTGGAGGATCCTGGGTGCTGGGGGAGAGCACTTCCAAACTGGTGGCAGCTCAACAGCATCCCTCATCCTGGCACTGGCCAGTGGGAATGAGAGATGGAAGTGGGGTTGGAAAGGAAGCGGGGTTGGAAAACAACATTTTCACCCAGGACCGAGTTCTGTTTGCGTTGGGTTGGCAGCAACTTTGTGTCTGGTGAGGAAAAAGAGGTGATTAATTATCCACCCCCGTCAGGAATGGTGTGCACAGAGAAACTCTGGGAAGAGCAGCGTCCCGAAATCCAGGCGGACGTTCCTGCTCTGGGCTTTGTGTTCCGTTCTTTGGGCTGGGATTGTGCCTTTGTTTGGGTTTGGGCTCAGGAGGAGCTCTGCCAGAGTGGGTCAGGGCACTCTGTGGCTCTGTGGAATCAGTAGAAGGGTCTGGTGTTACAGTCAATGAATTTCACAACAAAATGGATGAATTAATAAATTCAGAAGGGCTCAGAGACGGCCAAGAAAAGTCTTCCCCCTTTGCTGTTTAAAACAATACAAAGTTCCTCAAACTTCCTCGTGATGTTCTGCTTGGAACTGAAGGAAAACTGGGTTGGAACAGATCAGAAACTTGGGGAAAAGCGGAGTATTAAAGGCTTTCCTGAGCAGCAGTAGATACTTCAACCACATAATTAAAGTTTTCTTCACAAAAAAGGGATTGTGAGCAGAGCCTGGCAGTAATCCAAAATTCTAATTTCTGACTATGATTTAATTTCAATTTTAAATAAATCGGTTTTTAATTTAAAAAGAGTGAGCTTCATAACATTAGCAATGATTGCAACATTAAGCCCAGTGTTCACAATCTAGCAATATAAAACATTATTTATATCTGAATCGTAAACAGCCTTTTGAAATGGATTATGGTTTTTCTTCCTATTCTAATACAACCTGGAGGGTACTAAAAAGTGTTGTGTGAAATTAACATTCTGCTGACTTTCGCCTATAAATGAGAAGCGAGCTATTAACATTTGTGTATTTTCATTATGTAAATTGTGTTAACACATGCCCACAAATTGCCACCAGCGATGCAATAATTTTCTCTCAGTGATCATAATGTGTCCAAGTGAGTCATTTTGATTATGACATGCTAATTACATATTGTCTTTTTTCAGATTCAGAAAAACCAGGGATCTTTAATGGTAAGCTTTATGAGTTCAGAAAAAAATTCACTTTTCTTTTTCCTGATGGCTGCTTCCTCTGCATGCTTGAATGCCTTGTTTTAAACTTAGCAAATTGCATTTTGAGGAAAATGCAAACCTTTAACTGCCTGTATTAGATTAGGTACCATTAGAAATAATAGAACATCCTGAGCATCAATGTTTTTATAAGAGTTTGCTGCCGTTGATTAATCTTGCTATATTTTATTGCATTAATGATTTTTTCTTTCCACTCCACTGTAAAGATATTGCATATAGGCTAATACTTTTCCCCTCTCTCCTTGCCATTGCAGCCTCTCCAGTTATTGCAGTGCATTGTTGATGAGGTGAGTCGTCGTCTTATGTGCTTTCACTCCTAAAGTCATTCCTAATGGACTGGAAAGCTTATATTTTGTTTCCTAATGAAGCACAATGCCCGACATCCTCCGAGCACGAGTTGCCTTGTGCTGCTTGGAGCTCTCAAACATGCACTGGCCTTGTCCCACTTTGTGCTGGTTTTCTGCTCTGAATGTTGAGCTTTTTCACAGACTGGGGTCTCTCCCAGACCAGGCCTTGGAGCTGTTGAGGTCCTTCAGCCTCAGCTTTGGTGTGTGAGTTGTTCCTCAGCTTCGCCAGTGAGTTGGAACAGAGACATTCAGGTCTTTAACAGGGGTGATTTAAGGCAAAAAAAAGGGGTTTTTAACAAGGAGAGAAAAGTGATGTGTAAGCAGGAGAGTGTCACCTAATCCTTTTTGTTCAGTCAGGAGGGCAGAATGTGTCATCCAGCTACTTCCACCCTGTCCCACATGTTTGTTGAGCTTCATGTGAGCCAAGTGCTCAGTCTTGGTTGTGTCTCCATCTCCTTGTCTGAGCTGCTCACCTGCAGTGAGTCCTTTTATTAGAGAATGACTTCGGGGCTCAGCTAAACTTCTTCTTTCCAAAACTGACGTTTGGGCTTTGAGTGATGCACTCAAATTCAAATGAACAAGTATCCTTTGTGTCAAGGAAAGTTCTCCCAGCTCCTTGCCCTGGCTCTTTATGGTGTTCTGGTTCTTTGGGTGCTTTTGAGGCAATTCTGGTTCTTCAATCTTTTCCATCCGTTGTTATTCCTGTTACACACACCTTTGAGGTGTGGAAATGCCCCAGCAAAGGGCCTTCTCCATCCTCAGGAAGGTCAGGTAAAGATGCTGATATTTTACCTGTGTTTTCCTGCTTTTCAGTGGGTACTTGTGCCTCAATCTGAGCTGTTCTAAATCACAGCCCTGAAGAGCTCATATTATGGTAGATTGCAGTTGGACTTGATGATCTTCGGGGTCTTTTCCAACCTAAGGGACCTTCTGGCAGCTTTCACATCTTGTCCTCAGGATTAGAGTTGCTCCAGTCTTCTCAGAAAAACATTAACTAAGGAACTTTGTGCAGCCTTTAAACATCCGAGTGCCGAGTTAACTTCAGCATTAGCATTTGGAGATGTATTTTAGTTTATTTTGTGTTCCCCAGCTCACCACAGAACCATCCGTCTCCTGAGCTGGTGGTTCAGGATGTGCTCTGTGTGTGTGGGCACATTAAGGCTCCAGGTGACAGAGCACAGCTCAGCTGAGAGTTCTTTAAGTGCCACTGGCTTTGTTTTGAACACACTCGGTGTCGAAATGCAACTCGCCCTCCATACCATTTAGATCCCGGGGGAAGAGCAGAATGGATGGGCTCTGTGGTGTGGTTTGCTCTGTGTGTATTGTTAGGAGGTCATTTAATAAGATCTATAATGTTTAGGTGGTGGCTGCCACACCTGGAAGTGCAAATTCTTGGCCTGCCGGTGTCACGGAGCACGTTTTGTATTAAGGGCTTTTCTGAGCCAGCTCGGGGGTAGTGCTGACTTTAACAGCTCTTCCTGCCTTGTGTACACAGACTTTAAAGCCAAATGTGTTTAACTTGTGACTATTCTGGGTTTTTGTCCTTCTGTAAGAAGGGGACTGGCAGGAGGACCTGCTTATGGGGCTAAAACTCTTCTACACGAGGACCTGCTGAGGGGGGAAGTCTCTGTGCTCTTGATACTGCTGAGCTCTTGTTGCCACCAGGGGTGTTAAGGATTAGAAATGCTCAGTGTTGTAAGACTGATTATTTTGGGTCAAATATTGCCCTTGGCTCTGAGGAGGTCCTAAAACTCACAGGAGGAGCAGGGCCCCTCTCCTGCTTCGCTCCAGGAAGCCCCAGACGCTGGTGCAGAATTCCCCACCTGCCCTGGTGATGATCAGAGCAGCAGGGGATGATCTGTAGGTGGCCTTTTCCAAACAGATGGGGCACAGCAGTGCTGCCATCGTGGCAGGGCTCGTGGGTGAGCCCCAGTGTCACGGGATAAGGGAGGAGCAGATCTGCCAGGGTGGATCAAGCTGCCTCAAGAACCTCCAGTCTCCGTGTGGCTTCGTGCCACGGTGGTGATTTGGAGGAATTGTTGCAAAGTTGAAAACTGGGTGGGTTTTTTTTCAAGTCCTTTAACATTTATTTTGTTTGTTTGTGGTATATATTAGTAGTTCTCCTGTGAGGGAGAATGATTTGAATTTTTGGCTCCTAAAGTGATGAACCAGCTCTGTGGAAGAGAGCATTTCTTGAACTTGGGTCTTACCCCAGTCCTTCCCCCTGGACCCAGCTAAAAACTCCAGAGCCTGACACAGGAGGACCTAGAAATGGTTTAAAATGATGAACTGGGTGAGCTTTAAGGTCCCTTCCGACCCAAACCATCCTGGATTCTGTGATTTGTCAATGACTGAACTAGTTAAGAGGTTGTTTCTCTATTCCTTACGGGTCTTTGACTTGTAAGATGGCACAATATGCAATGAAAACTGTCTGTGGGAGTTTTTAGATGTTCTGCATAGTGAGATTTTTGGAGCTGGTTTGAAACTCTCAGTGAAATACAGGAGACACGGCGGGTCACTTTGGCAGCTTAAAAAAAAGTCTGTTTGTCCATTTTCTAGGACCCAGATTTACTTCCAGAAATTCTGCAGGACAAATAGGTGATTTGAGGAGCAGGAGAATTGAACAAAAAAACCCTCAGGCACAGGGGTTCTTCTCAAATCACAGCAAACCGTGCCTGATGTTTGGTGGTGTTAAATGGTGTTATCGGGCTGTTAATGACATCGGTTCTGGGATTATTTTTTAATGGCAGAATTAGTGTTGGAGCTTTGTGTGAATAGGGAACACGCCTGCCAGAACCTTTATTTTTTAACATGTGGTGACTTATAGTGAGATCTGATCCAGCTACAAATAAGACACGCTCATTTAAGCAAGTCCTAATTGGAGCAGCATCTCCCACCATGACAAGATTCCCGCTCCTGGTCCAAAGATGAGGATACACTCGTCGGTAATGGAGTTCATCCTGCCACAGCCAGCAATAAAGGCAGGCTGCTGTTATTTGGGAGCTGAGAGCCATTTAATATTCCAGCACTCAGCTGAGTTTGCCTCCAACTCCAGGAAATGCTGCCTGGGAAGCGCTGAGCAGCGCAGATGATTCCCGTTGGGAAGGACGCGCGTCGCTTGCCGCGCGTGCAGCCTTTCCAGAACGCTCCTACGTGGAGGAGATTGGAGTCAGGCTGGAAGCAGGAGCTGCTGCCTGGCTTGGGAGATGTCCTAGATGTTGTCCTGTGTGTCATGGTCATGCAGCCAGAGAATTTGCCATGAAGCAGGATTGTGCTTCCCAAGCACGAGGGGCAGTTTCGGGAAATGGTGAAAAGTTTTTGTCTCGGAATCTGTTCCAGATGATCGTTTGGAAATACAAAGCACAGAGTCCCAGGAGCAGCTGAGGGAGCTGGGGGGGGCTCAGCCTGGAGAAAAGGAGGCTCAGGGGGGACCTTCTGGCTCTGCAATCCCTGACAGGAGGGGGGAGCCGGGGAGGGTTGGGCTCTGCTCCCAGGGAACAGGGACAGGAGGAGAGGGAACGGCCTCCAGCTGTGCCAGGAGAGGCTCAGGTTGGACATTAGGAGGAATTTTTTCCCAGGAAAGGTAATTAGACATTGGAAGGGGCTGCCAGGGCAGGGGGGAGTCCCCACCCCTGAAGGTGTTCAAAAACCTGTGGATGGGCACTTGGGAACAAGGTTAGGTGGTGAGTTGGCAGCTGGAGTTGCTGATCTTAAAGGTCTTTGTCATTCATTTTGGTTTCAGAGCTACCATGGTTTGTCTCACTGCAGAGGTGATTTCGTTGTTGCTTTTGGTTTGTTTGCTTTTAATTGTACTGAATTAAGGGAAAAAAGAACTTGATTTTTGTCTGTCAGTTTTAGTTATTGGAGTGTTTGGACAGTGTTCTCAGGGGCAGGGTGGGATTGTTGGGGTGTCCTGTGCAGGGCCAGGAGTGGGACTCTGATCCTGATGGGTCCCTTCCAACTCAGGATGTTCCATGATTCCATGATTGAATTATTCCAATTGCATTAGGAGCTCGGGGAGGAAAGACTTCCAAGAGCAAATCCCTTTTCTTGCAAATAGGAGGCAGCATTGCAAAACCTGCCTGTTCTAACAAGTCAGGCAGAAATTGAGAAGAAAAATTAATTAGTTGTCCTCACAAATCCTTACCCTGATAGCTTCATGAGTAAGTAGAGAGAAGCTTTCCATGAGTTTCTTGAGCATTTCTGTTAAGTGCCCCCACAGAGATACTCGGTCTCACAAGACTGCAGTTTAATCTAGCTCAAGGACTTTCCAAACTCCACAAATCAAAGACCTCTTTTTTTTTTTTCTTTTTGTCTCTTTTTAAGTCCTTACTCTAGAAACGTTCAGCAGCTTCAGTTAAGGCTGGTGGGGTGTTAAGGGTGAGCTGTGAAGCATTTCAGTGGCAATATATTTTCCAGTTTTCCTCTGGAAAGAATTAACTTGATACATGTATTTTGTAGAGTTGTTTCTGTTGGGTTTTTTTTACATGGTTAAATATATCCCTCCATTTATTGCTATGGCACAGCCTTAAAAATTCACAGGATGTTCAGCTTGATCAAATAACACGATGAGTGTTTCCTCTGGAGTCCTGAATTCCTTAACCTTCTGCATCAGTGCTACATTTTGCTCTTGCTATAAATGAAGTAAAAAACTCCAAAGGCTCAGAACGAAGCAAGATGTGATTTTTTTTTTTTTTTGCTTTAGGAATTTTGAAGGTGCTGATTTAAATGTTGATTTAAGCCTGAAAATTTGTGGAGTTTGGAAGATTTCCATAGGATATACACACATATCTCTGTGTGTGTGTGTGTGTGTGTGTTCCAAATCCATCATAATTTGTCCTGTGTAAGTTGGTTTAGGGTATAGTTTTATGGAGACAGAAACTGTGACCTTACTAGTGTATGAGATTCAGGGACTTATATAGGAACAAGGTAAAACCACA